AAGGAAAGGCCCAGTTAGCAGTTCTAGCACTTAAAGCCAAGCCGACAGCCAAGCGGCTGAGAGGAACAAGCTAGCCCGACCGATGCTTGCAGGATTCAGCTAGCAAACGGGAAGGAGGACTTAAGACTGAACCTAAATTAGGTCCATTAGGCTTGCTTAGGCAGGGGTGAGGAGTGGTACATCCTTCCTTAGGGAAGTAATCAATGCCGTCCCTCGGGCCTCCACACCATAAGGGGGAGGAGCGTGTGTGAGTTCTCATTGTAACTCTCTCTGACTTGCCGGTGGAATAGGAACTGGACTGATGCTCCCCAGAATGGAAAAGGAGCCAGAACTGCAAGGTTCTGCCTTTTTGTACAAAAAAAAAAAAAACAATAACAAGTGCACCGTATTCAGTCCAGTTCCGATACCAACGACTGTGTTCCCCCAGACATAACGCGAACTGATAATGAATGTACACAAGCTATCTTTCTGTTCAGGTACAGGCAAAATGAGGGCGCGTTGTGTTCAAGGGGAAGACGGTAGGCCTGAAAAGGGAAGACCCCTGCCCAAAAACTGAAGAAGAGATGAAGATGTCTCCATCTCCTCCTCCTCCTCCTCCTCCCCCTCCTCCTCCTCCCCCTCCTCAAATCTTTAGCAGCCAACTTACACTCTCATTGGACAAGGATCAAGGGCGGAAAGCTGGAAACCAACTCGCTTCTGCAGCAGCCTACAGAGGCTGGTGACGTAAGTTGTCCTCCCAGTTAAGCCACCAGAAAAAAAAAGAAAAAAAAAAAAAAAAAAAAAAAAAAAAAAAAAAAAAAAAAAAAAAAAGAAAAGAAGAAGAAGAAGCCACCAGTGCTGTTGACCCTTCCCTGGGGGAGCCTTGGAACACACTGCACGCCAAACAAAAGCAAACCGGCGCCGTTTGTTTTCTCCTAAGGCTTTTAAAATTTGAACATAATGACTCGTTGAAACTTGAAAGTGAAGAAAACAGGACGCTGCCTTGCTGAAATTCCAAATTTGTTTTGTCGATTTCCACAGATTGGGATTGAACCACTCGTAGATTGGATGGGCCATTTCACAAGATTGGGTGCCTACAGCTTCTTGTCATCATCAGTGTCCCCAGTACTCAGGTATGTCAAGGATCCTTCTCTCTCTCTCTCTCTCTCTCTCTCTCTCTCTCTCTCTCTCTCTCTCTCTCTCTTCCTCTGTGTGTGTGTGTGTGTGTGTGTTTAAAACAAAAAATAAAAATAATTATCTCTCATTCCCTTTGTGTGTGTGTTTAAAAAAAACAACAAATTCCCTCTCATAACGAAAAGGTATGGATAGACAATATAATAGAAAATGCAAGGTTGTGTGTGTGTGTGTGTGTGTGTGTGTGTGTGTGTGAGAGTGTGGGTGTGGGTGTGGGTGGGTGTGCGTGGGTGTGGGTGGGTGTGTGTGGGTGTGTGTGGGTGTGTATGTGTTGTCTTCTCGTCCATCTGTCTGTCTGTCTGTGTCTGTCTGTCTCTCTCTCGCTCTCAGTCACACACACACACATGTGCATCCTATCAGGGAATAAATCCCCGCCCCTTCCTGGGCAGTATGGTCGTGAGTGGAATAACGCTACCGAGCAAGAGGGGCAGTATGGTCGTGAGTGGAATGACACTCCCGAGCAAGATGGGTCATGTCTCTTCTTTACAAGAATCTCAGTTCAGTCAGACGGCTCACTTTGCATTGGCCTGTTTGATAACGCTGAGGCTTGGACATTCCATGTCACACGCTATTCCAGTGCTTCCTCCAATGCCCCGGCTCATCCGCCAGCGGGTGTGCTCACGGGACAGCTCATGAGGTTCGAGCTGTAATTATGCTACTGAGTCCTGACTTCAAAGCCGCAGAGAATTCCGTGACCCAATGTATGCTCGTTAGGGGCCGTCACCCCAGTGTCCTGGCCACCAGAGGTTGGACTGCTTATGTCACACGGTGTGACCAGCAGCATCCGCCGTCCACTCATGTCACCCGGCTTATGAACTGATTTCGCCACATAGTGCGCTAGTCACCTGCCCACCTACTTCTGGATTTCAATTCCGAGCACAGGCAGCATCAGCCCTCCACAGAGACACATGCAGTCGGTCTGTCGTCCTCCTTAGTTATCAATTTATCACTACCGGACTTGCGACTGCTAATGTGGATGTGCAAGCCGGCTGGAAACCTGGCCAGGCGTAGCACATATTAATATAAAAATATTATAAATGTTTTTTTCTCCAAGTGGCTGCAGGGGATGACAGCCCGCACCCTACCATCATGGCTGCTGCTGAAAGTGTGCCCCCGTAGACGGAAGAGCAACTGTGGCCCAGCCAGCCCTACAAGTGACCCACAAGAAAGAGAAGCGATCTGACTAGTTGAGCTGAGCGCAGGGCTAATCGCTTTCTGCCCGCCGTCTCCACTGATTAACCCCCCCCCCCCCCCCCCCCCTCTGCTGATTCTCCACCACCCCACCACCAGCACCATCACCCTCTTCGCCTGCATCTTCAACCACACCATCCTTGCCATCGTCTACTTCTTCGTCCTTTTTTTTTTTTTTTTTTTTTTAACAAAACAGAGGCTCCATTCATTCGTGGGGAGCGTCACCTGCTGCAAAACGGGTCCAGCGTTCCCTTTTTTTTCAGAATGATGCTGGAATATACAGGAAAGTCTCTTCGTCCTATAAAATCAGGCATTACCATAAAGAGTAGAATACGACAAGAATGAGATAAGGTGAGAAGTAAGCCCTGCATCGATGATGATGTGAGGTCACTTTTTTTTCCCCCCCCATAAATCCAAGAATTTCACCTCTGACAATGGAATACGAATGCCYCCAACCGTCTCTATTAATCATTACTCCAATCCCGAAGACCAACGAAATAGGGCCAGAGTCCTATCGCGTTATTCCATGCTAATATGTTCAGAAAAAATTTGGACCGTTTCTCGATTTATGCGTGTCATCCTTGCGCAGGGTCCATGCTAATCGTCTCTGTATCGTTCCAATGTGAGGTCACTTTTTTTTTTTTTTTTTTTTTTTGCTCAGGCGGGCGTGCCCTCGGCAGAAGCCTTGGGCGCCACGTGCGTTCAAGGTATCGATGGCTCACGGATTTCTGCAATTCACATTCAGTATC